GGCCTCATACCAGGGGTTCAGAAACGTCTGGGGGATGGAAATCACCATGTTAGGAATGTCACTGCCTGCCAGCTGTCCCCACAGCCCCCCCAGACAGCCACGGAGGGGGGGAAAGGGGAGCCTGGCCCTCTGAGCAGAGCACAGCTCCAGTAACCCTGGCTTAAACTCCTGCCAAGAGCTCAGCAGCAAATCCTCCGTCCAACCCCCCATCCTTCGTTAACCCTCTTTCCCCTGAGTGCACCCCAGCAGGTTGGAGGTGCCCAGGAGGGCCTGGACTCGCCCCCCAGCTCCAAGGCAGGGATTTCAGGAGTCTGAAGCAGCAGCGGGGATCCCCCTGACCCCCTCCCCATGCCCAGATGGGCACCCAATGACAGCCACAACCACTTTACTTTGGGGACAGCTTTCGGTGCAGGTCTGGTCGGCTCTGGCTCATCAAACTCACCAGCCCCGAGGTGAGGAGGTGACTGGCAACCACCAGCCCCAGGCACCAGTACCGGCGTTTTTCACAGGCGTCGAAGAAGATGACTCCCCAGAAGGTGTGGAGCAAGACGAGGGCCATGGTGAGGAACGCTGGGGGAAGAGGGCGACACAGACCCCCTCAGACCTCACCACCGCCTTCCTCCTCCTCACCTCGGTGAAGGGCCACGCGCCGGGGCTGGACTCCGGCTCTAACCGGTGCTGCCGCAGCACCCCAGACACGAGCCCACGTCCCGTGGTGTGTGCTGGCCCCCAGCCTCACCAGATGTGATGAAGTAGTATGGCGAGTCCCCGTGGATCCCGACGATGCCTGGCCCGATGGAGTCTGCCAGGATGTTAATGACGGAAAACACGCCGCTGATGATGCCAAAGGACAGGCCCGAGACTACGGAGGGAGAAGGGAGTCAGCCAAGAGCGACTGCAGCCGTGCTACCTCTGCCACGAGCCCCAGGGAAAGGCAGGAGAGAGGGAATAGAGAATGGGGAAGGCTGCATTAGCACGGGGGGCTCATCAACACCACCACTGGTCTCCGATACCTGAGCATCCCGCTGCCAGGCAGCCCTGGAAAAGCGTGGGGAGGTCAGCGACAGCCCTGGGTTTGTGCTCACCGTAAGCCATCTGCCTGAGGGAGATGGGGGACTGGCCGTCCTCGCTGATCGTCGCCAGGCCTTCATCCGCTTTCCTGCTCAGGTGGGAGAGAAAGCATGAGCGGCTAATTTGGAACAGGGGTCTCGTCACGCAGGAGAGGGGAAGGGATGGTTATAAACGAGCCCGGGGCAAGGAGGAACAGGATCTAATGAGGAAGATACTTTGTGGGGTTCCCCAGACAAGAAGCAAAGGGATCGCAGCTACCAAAGCAGGTCACCCAGCCCCAGAAGGCGAGACCCCTCAGACAGGCTCTTACTTCAGCAGCTTGAAGTAGGCAAATCTGAAAGCCTCCTGCAGCAGGACGGAGACGGCGGCCCCAAAGACGAGGAGGCCGTACTGCAGCTTGGCGTCCTCCCGGTCGCTGAGATGAACCGAAACGAACCAGATCAGAGATGCCAGGAGCAGCGACACCAGCCAGAAAAACGCCCTGGGGAGAGAGGAACAGCAAGCTCAGCCTCCAGCGCTCAGAATCGCACAGCAAACGTGTGCCAAGCTGCTTGCTTGGTTTGCCTGGGCTTCGGGTCATTTTTTTTTGCGGTGTCAGCGGGGGAAGGTTTGGGCGGCGGCGTGGGCTGCCTGGTCATTGCCACGTGAGGAGGGCACGCGAAGGAAGTGTGTGGCTGAAAACCAAACAGATTCAGAAGCCAAAATGCTCCTTTCTCTTCTCAGAGGCACAACGACCTGCCTGGAGGAAAGCTGCTGCCCTGCGAAGTGGGGAAGGCTGCTCAGTGCTTCGCCCCTCGAAGGTTAAACACAGGTCTGCCCTCAGGAAACCAAGTGTGGTCGGACACAGCCAGCTCGGAGCTGCTCCTCTCGCTCTTTATTAAATAACAAATCCCTCACGCTGACCCATGGGGCAGGCACTGTGACCCTGGGGACCAGCCAGGCACAGGAGGGAAGAGCCGAATGCCTGTAAGGGCTGGCGTGTCGCTGCTCCTGGCTGCAGCTCTCCCAGCACAGTGAAGGTTTTCGGCTGTTTCCCACCTGGCCAGCATAAAGCCCATGCGTGCTCTTGCCTGCAAGACGCCAGGTCTGCCCCTGGCACGGCAGAGGCTGTGCAGTTTGACCCAGAAGGGCTCCCATGGTCCCGGGGTGAGGAGGGGGGGGGGTGGCTGAGCTCGGGCAGAGATGAGGCCACAGCCTCTGGGTGTTTTGCCTCAGCTGGGTCGCAATCTTTGAGCCGTCGGAACCGAGCATTAGGAGACCCCAAAGCGAGAGGATGCCGGTATGGGCCCCTTCCCTCCCACCCCCTACAAATTCACGGCCTCATCCCACCTGCGCAGGCAATTTCCCAAACCCTCTTCAGGCCTCTCCAGCCACAGCTGCCCCCAGCCACCCCAAAACTGCACCCCCCAGACCTCCCTCGACTGCCCCAGGAATCAAGGCTGCCGTGGCC